GAAGTGGGTTTTTTTTGTAAGTTTTTTTGTTGTAGGATATTATTGGAGAAATTTTTTTTTGTGTTTAGAAAGATAATTGGATTTTTTTTGCGGTTAGATGTGATATTTGTGAAAAAAAAAGGGAAATGATTACGGAGTTTAATGTAATATTTTGTTTGAATTCGTTTTTTTTAATTTTATAACCAATTTGTCTTTTAGTAAAAATAAAATAAAATAAAAACCAAAAAAATCCTTCCCAAACACCCTCTAAGTCTCTTGTGTGTATGGTACAAATATTTTCTATGTTTGGTACAAGTTTTTCTTGTGGGTCAAACCTACAAATAATTTTTTTACTTATAATGTAATTATTTTAAAATTGTTCTATTTATTTATAATTTTTGCAATAATTTACCTAAATAAAAATAATAATAATAAAAAAAAAAAAGGGAAGAAAGGCAAGCACAAATCCAAACGTCTCAAAGAAAGTTGTAAAGCTTATCATAACAAACCATGTGGCACCAACCTGGCCGGTCCTACACATCCCTTGTCCTGCCACCCAATCAACGGTCCTATAGTTTATATCTCCCGCCGTCCCGGCAATGCAAGCAAGGTTAATATGGAGAAATTAATCACAAAATTATTCAATCTTCACATATAATTATGAGATTTATAAAAATGTAAAATAAATTTTATTTGAAAGGATTGTGATTGATTCTCTGATCAAATTTTATATTTGTTAACATCTTGTAAAGATAATTATATGAAAATCTCCGTTAAGATAATTGGTCTAATAATCTATATATAGTTTTCATTTGCGAAGTGGATTGACTTTTTGACTTTTTTGACTATTTTAGTCTGGGACTAAAAAACCGTGTTTGGAAAGGGTTTTTGATTTTTTTGTGAGAGAAAAAATGTAATGATTATAAGTTGAATGTGATGTTTTGTCTTATTAAGTTAAAAGCATATTTTATTTTTTATAGTTAAAATAGTCAAAAAAATCCCAATTTTTGCTTCCCAAATGAAGCCTATTTTTTAGATTGTGAAAAGATCAGAGATTCAATGTTTGATAGAACAATTGCGAGATTTTTGTTATAACCTAACTTATTAACACACTAATATTCTATCATTTGGCAAAAAAAAAAAAAAAAAAACCCTAATCACTTATTATTATTTATCCATTCTGCCGATAAACTCTTCCATATTAATAGCTTACTTAATAAGATATTTGTACAAATTTTATAATTAAGAGGACAAATATATCAATAAATAAATGAGGCGCTCATGATTTGATTCTACAATATAGAGTTTAAATGCACACTATGAATAAAAATATGTGTCAAATTTTTGGGAACTTTTCTGTTACCTAGACTTTTACTATATTTTTTCTTACAGTAATCTATGTTTGGAAAATTAGAAGAGAGAGAAAAAAAAATTGCATAAGTTATTATAGAGAAGAAAAAAAAAATTGTGAATTTTCTTTTTTTGGTTTGGATAAATAGAAGAGAAAAAATTGGGAAAAAAAATATTTACCTGTTATCTTGTATGATTAAACTATATAAAAGAAAAGAAAATAAATTATTTCATATTATATTACCAAAATAACATTTTATAAGATTTATTTTTTATTTTTTCTATATCTAAAATGACAATTTTGGTATTATTTCTTTTATAATTTCTTTATTTTGGAGAGATTCAAAATGAGAATTATGATATAAATATGATTCTGTCTATTTTAATTTGTTTTATTTTCATCACCTTTACTTATTCAAACCAGTATATAAAAAATTAAAAAAAAAAAAATTCATTTCTTCTTGTTTTTCTTCGAAAGCGACCGAATCTAATTTTTTCAAATCATTCAATCCAAACTTGCGGTTTACTGTGTATAAAAAATTTAAAAAATCCTTTATTCTTTTTCTTCGAAAGTGACCCAATCTCATTTTTTCAAACCACTCAATCCAAACTTGCAGTTTGCTCTATTTTTTATAGTACAAAACACGTGTCAGCTGGTCAAGCCGAAGTAAAATAAATAAAAAAAAGGTTAAAAACACACACTTATGGACCATTGAATTAAACAATTTCAAAGAGTTCCAATACAGAGAATCATTATCTGTATACGTATTTAAACCCATTCAAAAATATTTCACTGTAACCCAAAAAACAAAACGGAAGTGATTGAGGGCCCTAAATTTCGGGGCTCGAATGCCCCGAAATTCCACTTTAAGTAAAAAATTTAAAAAAAAAAAAAAAAAAAAAAAAAAAAAAGGAAAAAAGAAAGAAAAAAAGAAACAGTTTCCAAAAATGGAAATTAGGGGCATTAGGGGCAAATTTTTTAGGGCCACCAATCATTTTCCAAAACCAAAACCATTTCAAAATTGAATTTTCCACTCTTCCTCTATTTCTGCCTCTTGTCATCTATCACAACTAACCCAACCAAGCTCACAAATTACAGAAAATTACAAACATACCCTTGAAATTTATTTAAATTACAAATTATTCTATGTAATTCTAGAAATTACATTATGTCTCTTAGTATTTTTAATTTCATTACAAATATGTCATTTTATTAATAAATCTTCAAGTTAATTAATAATTTTTAGGATAAATTATAATTTAACCCCCTGTGGTTTACCCTAAAAACCCGAAACCCCCTTGTACTTTCATTTGTAATGCTTAAACCCCTAGACTTTATACCATGTTGTAATTTTTTACGGACGTAACAGAAATGCACAAAACGACGTCGTTTTGTGCACCACCTGATAAAAAATAAAAGGGTAAATTACACTTTAACCCCCTATGGTTTACCCCCAAAACACGGAGCCTCCCTATAGTTTCATTTGTAACACTTAAACCCCTAAACTTAATACTAAACTGTAATTTTGGATAGACGTAACAGAAGTAATAAAAAGTCATAAATGCCCTTAGATATTTTCCACTCAGTCATTTTATTTGTATCACTTTGTATCTCTATTTCCATCTCTCTCTCTCTCTCTCTCAATCTTCTCTCTTACCGTGAGCTCCATGTCACCACCACCTTTCAATACCAAGCCTACATGTGTATCCAGCTATACCACGTCAAGCTATATCAGCAGACGTGCTAGCTTGAATACAACATTTGCAACATGCACAATCACGCTGGCGAAACTAACGCCGGATGAGAACAAACCAGAGTAGAAATATCACAGAGGGGACCCTTACAACCAGAACCAGTGACTTACCACCTCCGACATCAACACAAAACAGACAACCTGGACATGGAGAGCACCGTTACCGGAGACCAAAACTAGTCTAACGCCGGAGAAAAAGACACACACAGGTGCATGAGAGAAACAAACAAAGTAAAGCAGCAACCAGGTACTAGAACAAGCCGATAAGCTCTAAACCCACTACTCCTTTCACCACCATGATTGGAACTTTCTCTCTCTAGAGAAAATCTAGAGAGAGAGACTCTTTGCAACATAAGCTACACACCATAAGCTTAACCAGCCAAGAAACCAGACTGGACTAAGCTCAAACACAACCACCACCATGCGCGTTGAAACCACCAACACCAACGGCAAGAAGCAAACCGGCAACGCCGATATCCTCCAAGACTGGCGGCACCGACTTCACAACATGATCTAAACTTCCCATTTTGAAAACCCAAGATAGATAGAGCAACCATGAATAGAATAACACTCCAGCCATAGTTTGAACACCATATGGCCAAACCAATGATGCATTGGAACAACACCAAAACTCAATACCCACAAACTAGTTTTATATATAGTTGGATGCACATGTCACTACCACCTTTCAACACCACCTTGGAAAAGATAAAGTGGATTTTGTTGGTATAAATCCCATAAAAAAAAATTTTAACCCTCTTTCTCACTTTTTTTTTTTTTTTTTTTCCTTTTTATGAAAGTAGCCATGGCTGTCCTAGTTTAAGCAGCCACATATATACAACACCTCAAACCAAAAAAATATGAAGTTGTGAGGTAAAAACTATTTCAAGTTCTAATTATTCCTTGCATTATAATTTGCAACTTTTATTGAACAATTCAAAAAAATAATTTCCTTTAATTCTAGCTAGGTTCGATTCATTTGACAAATTTATTTGGAGATTTGCTTTTGAAGATGTGTGTATATATATTAGTTGTAGTGCTGCTAAATGGGAATGGTGTGGCAATGCAGTGGGTATCGCCTTGGTTTGTTGGATGAAGCGAGTGATAAGGAAAGAGAAATGAGAAGGAGATGGAGGGTGGATGGTGGTGTGGAATTGCAGGCTAGTTTTGCTGTGCAGTGAGGAAGAAATCCTAAGATAATCTGCACAATTTCAGAGGCCTCAATGTGTTTGTTGCATATTTATATGATGAGGGGAGAGAGAAATGGTGTTTTGGTCCAAAAGTGTAATGTTTTTGGTAGGAGAGAGTGCTGCTTACACTTTTGTGCTCGTGAATTTCACGGTCTGGTTAAATAAACAAATCTGTCAAAAATTACAATTTGGTATTTAGTTTAGGGGTTTAAGTGTTACAAATGAAACTACAGGGAGGCTCCGTGTTTTTGGGGAAAACCACAAGGGGTTAAAGTGTAATTTACCATTTTTTATTTTATTTTTTATCAGGCGGTGCACAAAACGACATCGTTTTGTGCATTTCTGTTACGTCCGTCAAAAATTACAACATGGTATAAAGTCTAGGGATTTAAGTGTTACAAATGAAAGTACAAGGGGGTTCCATGTTTTTAAGGTAAATCATAGGGGTTTAAATTATAATTTACTCTAATTTTTAATAATGTCAAAATTTTATTTTTAATTAATAATTCATGTAATTTTAATATTATATAGGTGACCAGTTAAAAATTTCACTTTTTTAATTAATTCGATTAAATAAAAAAATTTGACGGGAAAGTGTTTGTAATTTTTTAAATTATAGAAGACAATTCGTATTTTAAGTAAATCTCAGAACGTATTTGTAATTTACCCCACAAATTACAGTTATTAACAGAACAGACCCAGCTAGCTGTTGCTATTTCTACTCATCCTCATTCTCTCTCTCTCTCTCTCTCTCTCTCTCTCTCATCAAAAAATGCAGTCACAGATCCTTCCTCTGTCAAACCCATGTGGGACAATGGCAGTGGAGAAGATGTTACTGAGATCGGCGGAGGAAGATGTGTCGGTTACTCGGCTTCTGATTTCTCCACAATTTGAGGGAGAGAGGGCAATTGAAGTCAAACCCATTTTTCCTAGTGCTTCCAGCTACATAAGCACTGCCACTGGTGGTTCCAAATTCTTCCAGAAACGACGGCGTCGGACCGCCGGCGAGTCTTCTCTTGCCGGCGGCGGTGGCAAGTCGTTTGGTGAGGGCATTGAGGATGCGGCGTCGGAGACCAATCTCATGACTCGGCTTGGCTTCAACCTCTTGCGATATCTCGGGTAAGTATTCTCATTTCTCTCTGCGTTGTTTGATTAACAGAATTAATAGCGAAAATATTGATAATTCCATGAATTAGCATAGAATTAGTGATATAACAATTTATTTTGTCTCTTTTTTTTTTCTTTTTTTTTTTCATATTTGAAATTATGTTCCCAGCTCATCTCAATATTAAAAATTCGTCAATTTTGTCTGGTTGAACGTCTGCCATATATGTAATCCTGTTAATATATTTGTATGATTCAAAAAAAGAAAAAAAAAAGATCTTCTTAATAAAATTTGCAATTGAATATGAGATTGGGAGACCATGGACTAATAATCGCAATCATATGCTATAATCCTATTAATCAAACATGTGCTCTAGGTTTTATCTATTTATTTATGCCATATTTTTTTTTTCTGATATCTTAATAGTTTAATTAAGGGTTAATTGCAGTTTACCTCTTCAACTATTATTAAATATTATTTTAATTTAAAAATTTACATTTAGACTCTCTATTATCAAAAACTGTACAAAGACCCACCTTAGAGGGAAAAATAAAATAATTTTTGATAGGTGAAGGTTCTAAGTGTACTGTTTTAAAATGAAGGAGGGTAAAGGTGATATTTAGTGATAATTGAAGGGTACAGTGTACTTAACCCCTTTAATTGAGGTATTGAAATGAAAAAGTGCAAATTACACTTTACCACCCTCAATTGTGAACAGTCGTTATTTTCTCTGCTCAACTAAAAGTTTTTACATGTTGGTCATAAATAATTTCTTATATATATGTATATAAACCAATTCTTACATGAACATTTTGGTCGTAAAATTGGAATTTATAATTTACATTCCAATTTTTCGCCATATTTTCATAACAGAATGTTAATAGAAGGTTGATATTATAATATATCAGAAGATTAAGAAGTAAAATGTAGGAATTTTTAATTGAGGGGAAAGTGACAACGGGCACACCGTAATTTTCCCAATGTTGTCACAGTTGCACATTGACTAGTTGTTTAAGGCATAGTTTATTTATTTACTTATTTTTTGTGTGTTATATTGGTGTTTCAAATTGGATTGGGTAGTAATATGGCTTGAATATGAAAAAATTTTGACATCATATCATTAATGTGGTAGGCACAAATGTCTTGTAACTTGTAAGCACGGAAGGCCAAGAATATATTGATTTTCCAGAAGCCAAGAATATGCTATTATTGACTTACACTTCCTAAATGTGTACTATCATTGGGGTTATTATCACTATTAAAATATGTTGGGGTATCAAGTAGTTGGCAGATGTATTGATTTTCCAGAGACATAAATTACAGTGCAAATATTGGCATAACTATAACAGGAGGGGAAAATGAATTTCTAGTCACAATCTGTCATGTCATGGTTTTTAAATGACAGTTGAACATATTTGGATGATTTTTTTTAGTATATGTTGCTTGTTTCAAGTTGGTGAAGCTAGAGGAAAAATAAATTCAAGAAGTTGACACTATGATAGTTGCTTGAGAATCAATATATGCTATTCTAAGTAGTTCTAGGATTTTTGGAGTGATTTTGTTAAGTTAGGGGATACAAATGAGGGACAACGAAAGATACAAAGTAGTCATATGTACGTCTCTAAACCTTGGGGGTTTCCACTTTTGTCACATTTGTGGATAGCCCAACACTTGCAACACAAGTCACTTTATATCACGTGTGCATTTGGAGAAAACTAGGGCAGTATTTGGATTATGGATTTGAGGAATGATTTGTGGAGAGAAAGGAAAAGAGAAGGGAATAATGAAAAAGAAAAGAAAAACTTATACTTTATTCACTTTCCTCTTTACTTTTTCTTTCCCTTCTCAAAGTCCTTCCGAAATCCATGATCCAAACACTGCTTAAAAGTAACATATACATAATAGTAATTTGACCAGGAGATTATGTAACCAATAGGATATGTGAAGAGTGAAAATCCATGACTTAAAGCCTTTCAAAGAAGAGTAATAGATGTGAAAAGAACATTGACGTATGTGCAATGCTGCATTAAGAAGATTCCACTCCTCTTTGATTACAGTTTTGCTATTTTATTTATATTTATATGTATATATATATATATATATTTGGATTAGAATGCTATAATACATGTGACATTTAAAATGTAGAGTAACTAAAAATGCTCTAACATGTAGACATAAATTTAAAAAAAAAAAAAAGAAAAGAAAAAAAGAAAAGAAAAGAAGGCAGAACAAGAAAGAAAATAAGGAAAATAACTTGCAGGAATTTGTTTCGCATTATTGTTAGTATGATATTCTTGAATTGGAATATCACTTGTTTCCAGTATATTATCAACTTTTTTTGTTTAGATGTCTCTGATAATTTATTTTTATTCAGGGTTGGCTACAGAGGCATCACCAGATTACTTGCCATTGGCTGTTATGCTTTTCTAATTTTCCCTGGTTTTATTCAAGGTTTGCAAAGTTTTCTGATCTGTTACACAAACTCTACCGTGCTTCAACATCCTATAGCTTAATATTGTATTCTTCTACCACTAGTTTTGGCTTTTGTGAATTGTTTGTATTTATAGATGTGCTCAAGGTCATGTTTATCAGATTTATTGATAGCTAAGTTCACTTGTTTGTGTAGTTGCGTTCTACTATTTCTTCTCAAGGCAAGTCCATAGAGGTATAGTTTATGGTGATCAACCAAGAAATAGGTAAATGCTTTGTTACTTGATTTATTTCTTGTGCTTCTGGATGCAACATTGGAATCAGTTTGTGCACATTCTCTCTCATGAATCTCATGGGATGAATCACTAATCAAAATGTAATTGTGCAGGCTGGATCTGTATTTACCTAAAAATACTGATGGCCCGAAGCCAGTTGTTTCATTTGTAACAGGTGGAGCCTGGATAATTGGGTAAGCGATTGCAATGTGTTTGGATGCATGAATTGGCTGTTAAAAAGACAAATTTCAAAATGAACCTTTAATTTGAGGAGATTTGAACCCATATGAGGAGCATATTCATTTACCAACTCGGATGAATCCTCCGCTGTTAATGCCCCCATTTTAGATTACACGTAATTTTGAATGATGTTTATTTGTAATGAAATATGAAAATGTATCTCATGCATATGGAACGTGACAAAACAACATTTATAATAGCAAGTCAGCAAGCAGACTGGAATCAAAGTAAAACTTTGAAGCGTTTCCATGAAGAGATTTTACATATAATACATGGATTGAGTTGAGTTGAGAGTTAATGGAAAGAAAGAAAGATAGGTTTACCAGCTGGTTGGAGAGTTTTTGAAATGCCTCTTGTATGCATGCTTATTTGTTCTCAACAAGTTCTGAAGCCTTTTGCTGATGCAGTTATAAAGCATGGGGTTGTCTTTTAGGGAAACAGTTATCAGAAAGAGACATTATAGTGGCCTGCATAGATTACAGGTGATATGATTTTACTTCAAGCATAAATTATTGCGTTCATAGTACATACTATCATATTCAATTCTCCATTTGGATGAAGCTCTCTGATGGGCACATTAGGATTCTTTTATGATATGACCTTGTACCGTATGTACCCATCAAAGAAGTTTTTGTGTTCAAAGCACTGCTAATATTGCAAAGGGAAGCCCACATTTTTTGTTAATGATTACTGGGATATGTGGGTGTTTCCTTAGAATTGAACTTCATTTGAATATACATGGAATTTCAAATTGGTCTATTCGTGTCTTATAGCATTATCTTCTTTTCTTTTCAATTTATTGATACAACACTTATTTAGAGTAATGGATTCTTGAGATTCCAAAGTGACATATTGACATTTGTATTTAATGGCAATTGCAAATAGTGGGATTATTACATCTTCAACATGTGAAACACACTAAGGTAACAATACGTAACCTTCATCACCCTTTCGTTACATAATGATGGGCTCAGGACATCTCTGCCCTCCAAAAACTGTGTAACACAAGTTAAAACGATTTAATTTTTTTCTTTCTTTTCTTTTCATCAGAAGCCGCTTGTAGCTGATTTCAATAATTTTCTACCGTAATCACATTTCGTCACAGTTAATAGTTTACACTGCTAAATAACCAGCTTTGGCTCATAGAACTGTTCTTCTATTGTTTTCCGTCCTAGATGTGAATTAAATAAATCTTCATAGTCCAAATAAATTTCATGGGTAGATTTCTGTTGTTGATTTACCCATTTCATAACGATTTCATGGATGTCATCCCTATGCATGTTTTCATTCAGCATTGCTTCTCTAGTTACGTGGTATTCCTGTAAATGAGCATTTTACACATGCATAAGTACATAAAACTTAATTACCTGTAACACTCTTCTGGCAGAAATTTCCCCCAGGGGACTATGAGTGATATGATAAAGGACTCTTCTGAAGGTATCTCATTTGTGTGCAATCATATTGCTGAATATGGAGGTGATCCCAACAGGTAGTAACTTCATAAACTTCTTCGTCATCTTGTTTTAATACCCCAATGAAATCATATTGAGAATTCATTTTTGCTAAGCATGCCATATTTTTAATTTTTTATTATTATTATGGTTTCGGTAGGATTTATTTAATGGGACAGTCAGCTGGTGCCCATATTGCTGCTTGTTCTCTCTTGGAGCAGGCGATTAAAGAGGCTGGTGATGTAGAGAGTACTTCCTGGAGTGTGTCCCAGTTAAAGGCTTATTTTGGTTTATCTGGAGGGTACACATCTTCTTCATTTCCGAAGAGTTTGCGGTAGACAAACTATTTTAATAAATAACTTACATCGTGCCCGACATCTCATGTGACCCCATGATTTCTATTACATGAACAGCATAATGGAGGGGGAACAATCTATTCGACGATTTTCTCCTGAAGTAATGGTACAGGACCCCAACGTTAAAAATGCAGTCTCTCTCCTACCTCCTGTTGTCCTTTTTCATGGCACTGGAGATTATTCCATTCCATCAGATGCCAGGTCTGCATCCCATCCCAAATGACTCTGTATATATAAATATATATATATATATTTTTTGGTTTTGGGGGGGGGGGTGTGTGTGTGTGTTTAAACTCGAATAAATATGAATTTGACTCCAAGAAGCTATCAGTTTTGGCATAATGAGAAATCAAATATAAGTTTTCCCTAAATAAAATTAAATCCCTTGACTCTGTATGAAGGCTCAACAAAAGTTTGAAAGTTCGAACTCTGTGATGTTTTGGGTACTAATGAAAAAATAACATGAGAATGACTGGATAATGCTTGCTTAGTTTTACACTTAGAAAGGGAACATATTGTGGGTGAGAGGTGTGGTTAGAGGTAGTCTGAGAAGATGGCGGGCACTTTAATGGCCTGAGATCACCGGAGGTGGAGAGGAGGAGGTCAAGGCAAGCTTGGAGAGGGAGAGGTTGGCAGTGATAGACCTTTGAACACTAATGTAAAGAATGAGAGAGTGTTTAAGCATGAGACTTAGTTGTATTGTTGTTGTTGTATCTCGCTGCATATACGATACGTTATATAGGCCACAGGAGTATTTGAGCCCAAGCAAACTGTTGGACAGGTGGCTCGTTCTCCTCAACTCTGCCAGAAGTGATATAAGCCCTTCTGCCGTCTGTGGCTTGCCGGCTGGCGGAGAGCAACATTTCGTGGCAGGTGGAAAGTAATGTTTCGTATATGCATCGGATGACATGAACGTAAGGTCATTGTTGCCTCTTCTCCAAGCCTGGTCGAAATGGAGTTGTCTTAGCAAGAAGACAACCATCTCGACGATCCCATGACCTCAGCCGCCAGTCCAGTATCCTTTGATAATCCCGAGCGGTAGTGCCTGGGTCCTGCTCCCAACCCAGGCATCCAAGTAGGTGAATGGGCTAGGGCCCACCTTAGTGTTTAGGAGAGTCAAGGGCTCGCTTCCAGGCGACCAAGTAGGAGGATGGGCCGCGGGCATATGGGCTAGGGCCCACCTTAGTGTTTAGGAGAGCCAAGGGCTCGCTTCCAGGCGACCAAGTAGGAGGATGGGCCGCGGGCGTATGGGCTAGGGCCCACCTTAGTGTTTAGGAGAGCCAAGGGCTCGCTTCCAGGCGACCAAGTAAGAGGATGGGCTGCGGGCTTATCTCAATGTTTGTCAATCCAAGTCCAAGTGAACTGGGAGCTTGGGCTGATTGTATTGTTGTTTGGTCTTGGAGCGAGGTATGAAGGACCGTGGACCCTGCGGGGCCATGGTGCTGCCTGTTGCAGGGCTCTTCATATCTAGATATATTTGAGCTTGTACATATGCTCCCGCTTAGGCTAAGCATATAATTTTGGTTGCCTTGGCACATGGCGCCCATAGGGCTCGCCATGTATTAAACATACGACATGCCCGACGTGGTGCCTTATTGGTCTGCCATGTGGGTGGGGTTTTGGTGATGCGGCACCTGTGGTGCTTGCCACGTATTGAGCTTGATACAAGTACCCACACATATCATGCATGAGATTGTTGAATTTGAAACTGCATATCAATACGATTTTGGTATCATCTTATTGATTTTACTCATCTGTCTAAACATCCTTAACATTTTGTACATGAATCATGCAATTATTATTATTATTTTGATTACTCAACCTAATATTTAATTGCCTGTTGTTAACTAGTGATTTTAAATTTCACGCAATTTTACATCATATGAAATCTTATATTTCAAAAATCTTAGAATTAGATCATATTGTGGAGATTGGTTGATTTAAATTATAATTAGCTCATGTATCAGCAAATGTTGATTTGTGTGACATTTTACTATGATTCTGGTAAAAGGGAAGTCGATTCACTATCTTTTGTTCATTTTTGTCTTCTCAAATAACTACATAAATTTTTCTGTGTGCAGCAAGAATTTCGCGGGCACACTTCAAAGAGTTGGTGGGAAAGCTGAATCAATTTTGTATGATGGACGGACTCACACAGATATTTTCGTGCAGGTAATCAATTGCATGTTTCAACACTTGCTTTTATTTATTTATTTATTCATATTCTTTTTACGTTGTACTTACTATCTTGAAATAATTCGCATACGCTTTTTTCTCTGTGATTTCTGTTTACCTGGGAAAATGCTTTATCATTTTTTTTTTCCCGCATTGTTTGGACTGTATGTCATTTAGGATCCAATGAGAGGAGGAAAAGATCAAATGTTTGAAGATATAGTCGCTCGTATTCATGCTCGAGATTCAGCGGCCCTCGCCAAAGACGCAGTCGCACCTCCAAGAAAACGACTTGTACCTGAGTTTATGTTGAAGTTAGCAAATAGTGTCAGCCCATTTTAGTCTCTCTCTTCTTCTTCTTTTTTTTTTTTTTTTTTTTTTTTTTTTAAATTATGTCTACGGAGAAGAAACAATTATTTTCTTGACCTATTAATCCATTCATTGTTGTACATATCACGAAAAAAAGAGTAATGATTCTTGAAATTTAAATTTCTTATGAAGAAAGAGAGAGAGAACAACTGGAATGTGACGTAGTAGCAAATTGTATCTTTTCCCGTTTTGTGAATACGAAATTCTTTTCCTGTTGTTCAAACGAATTATCTTTCAGTCCTCCATTTTTTTTTTTTTCCCTTCATATTTTTAAGTGAAATGCTCTCTCTCCATGCAATTTGACTGGGAAACATTGCCCTTTGTTCTTTTGTTTTGTTTTTGTTTTTTGTTTTTTTGTGTGTACTTTCAATCTTAACAGGGGAAAAAAATATTGTATGCACCCATTGATATACCAATTAGTATACTAACTGATAATGTGACATAATTTTAGAGGTTTTGACTATTTGTAATTTGTATAATGGGTGAGGTCAGTAATAATGTTATAACATATGTTAGTACACTAGTTGGTACATTAATTGATATATGTAGCATCACCACTCAAAAAAAAAAAAAAAAAAGTTCAAAAAAAAAAATTTCCCATGGTTAAGTTTGTGATAAAAATGAATGAATTACCCATATCTCATCCTGGTTTCTCTTAAAAAAAACACCAAACCCATTACCATATCTTTTCCCCGAGATCATAAGCAATAAATTAGTGTAAAGACGAATAACAAAAAAAGAGCATTAATAAAAAAAAAAAAAAAAAGCATTAATTTGAAATTATAGATCATGAGGTCCAATAGACCATGCAAAGAAAATAAATAAATACATAAAATCCAAGTATGAGTACTTATGGTGTGCAAAATTTGATTCCCACAGCTGGTAGAGAATAGCAGAAACTAGCGACGGGAATAATCCGACTTTCAAAACGAAAGATCAAAATTAGTGTTTTATGTTATGTCTTTAAAACAAAAAAAAAAAAGATCTAAGATTAATTTCAGTTAGATTTTTTGTTTTTTTTTTTGTTTTGATAGCGGGTTGTTAGGGTCAATTTATATAGAGGTAAGCATGATCTGAATTAGTTTGAATTGGGATAAAATTAAGATCAATCCATTATCTACGATTTCTAAAAAATTAGAATAAATCCAATCCGTTTATATCGTAGAACCAATCCGAACCAATCCAAACCAATCTATTTAAACACGAATTGAATTGGTTTAGGACCACAGATTCACATAATTAATAATAATAATAAAATATATAACATTTTAATTTGGGAAAAAAATTAATGTCTAAAAAATTTATCAATTTTATATAATTTTATCTTTAGTGGGTAGAAATTATTTTTAAAATCAAAAAATATTTTTTTTGACATTTATTTTTATCAAATTAGTTTGTATTTTATTAAATTTATGACTTTATTCTTGAAATTGAGCAATAGTATTTTCAATTATTTTTATTTGAAATAAAATTCAAAATTCAAAATCAAATATGTCACAATTGAAAAATTAAAGACCAAAGTGACATGAATCTCAAATTATAGAGGATGTTAGTGTAATTCGTTCCTAATTTTTTTAACTTATATTTTATCCAAAAATTTTAAAAATTAATAAATTAACATATTCTCGATATAAGCAATTTTTTTTATACGTATGCAAGTTGGGTGTATGCAATTTATATATGTATGCAATTTTTATAAGCAATTTCTTATGTGTATGCTGCGTAACAGCATTTTGGATCTGGCTGGTGATGAATTAGCGACTCTTTCCTTCTGTCGGGGTGAGCAGCGGATATATCGATCCGTCAAAATTGATCGAACCGAACCGATTCGCCACATTTTGAACAGATGTGTGATGACGAGCGGATGGTTGCGGATTGATTTTCTCCTATCCGTCAATCTGGCGGACGGATGGCGGATTTGAGATTCCTTTGACCGCAACCGAACCGCCAAACCGCGAACACCCTTAGTAATTTATAAGACTTTGTGTTTTCAGTTTGTTTAAATATTCTGTTTGTGTTTTCAATTAAAAAAAAGTTTAAATATTCTGTTGAAAAAAAGTTTTCAACTTGAATATCTTTTTTGAATTAAAAAAAATAAACGTATTATTTGTCTATATTTTTTGTTTTTAAATCTATCTCTAAAAATAATAAATAGAAAATATGATATATGTTGGTTGATTTTTATTTTCAAAAACAAATATAGATGTAACAATACAGAGACATACAATCTCTACTACTGCTCTGTTCATGACTTTGGTGGTCTGAATTGTTTTTATATTTTAAGAACCACAGATTGTAGTACTTAATGTGGATGAGACATGCTGTGATTGTAGTATGTGGATGAGGCATGTAGTGATTGTGATATTCTAAAGTTTCAAACTTTCTTACTTTGGATGAGATATGCAGTGATTGTAATATTTTTTAAAGTCATTAACTGTAATACTTTCTTCTTGTCTTTTGTTTTTTTTGAAGAAGTGCACAAGTTGAATTATGTTGAAAATTTATAAAATTTTAAACCGCCAAACCGATTCGCATCCATTCGCCAAACCGTCAATCCGCTCAATTCACATCTGCCGGATTGGCGGACGGATGCGGATTGATTTTCTCCAATCCACCAAGCTGGCGGACGGATGGTGGATTGAAGATTTCGTGGCTGCAACCGACCCGCGCCCACCCCTACCTTCTGTCTCAGAAAAGAGAAAAGGGAAATATTATGTACACATCTTTTAAAAAATGTGTATTATATGTATTTTTATTTTTTAATTAGGATCCTATGTGCTTTATAATTAGAGGTGTAACTCGGGCGGGTTCGGCGCGGGTTGGAGGTTTACCCAAGCCCAGCCCGAATTGTATTTGGCAGTGCCCAAGCCTGCCCAAGCTTGACCATCAACCCGAGCATGGCTGCCCAAGCCCGGACCAAGCTTCATAATTCGAACTCGGGTTAGCTCGAATTGCCCGAATTTCACAAGGCAAGAAATAGCTTCTGAATTTTTCCATACAACAAACAGTGTTTCATTATATACATAAGTCCATTAGTCTATACAACAAACTTAAATATCATCCCAGCCACAAGAGTCTTAAAAAGAGGGAAGAAAGAATAGATGAGGTAGGGTTTTTTTATTTAGTTTTAATTTAGTTTTAATTTAATGGTCCAAATAAAAGATGCTAATCCAAGGGCCAAAGACCAACCAAAAAAATAAAATAAAATGAAGGGCCGGCTATTTAATTTATTTTATACATATGTTATATAATTTATATAATATATTAAATGTAATTCGAGTTTGGGTTACTCGGGTTAGCCACTGACTCTGCCCAGGCCCCGCCCGAATTACAATTCGAGCATCAAAAATTTGTCCAAGCCCGTTCAGATTACAAGATATTGTTGCCCAAGCCCTAAAAAAACTCGGGCTGAGCACGGGTTGCTTGGGTTGTGCTCGCCCGAGTTGCACCCCTATTTATAATAAGAAAATGATATAATTTTATACTTTTTGAATCATAATTAAAGAATAAATAAAATTGTTATAACTAAATACAATATGAGATATAACTATTGAATTTATAACCAAACATGAGATATAATTAAAGAATTTATAAGTTATAATTAAAATAATATTATATATTTTTTTTAAAAAATCTTATATAAAAAGAAAATAACATAACTATATGGGTATATGTGCATCCTTTTAAAGGGTGTGTATATTAGATATGATTTTTGTCCCTGTATAAGATATATCTATGTGATACATTTTACAATTATAATTGGTGAAATGGAGTAGTATTTGTATATGGGGCTTGGCTTTGGTTCAGTCCATCATCGGATTGGGTTGTATTGTTGGATCCGCGGGAGCCCATTACAGGTCCCGTTTTGAAAATCTGAACCGTCAATGTGTAGAACTCGTCGAGTATAATATGCCTGTGAAAAATCACGTTGATCGGATATCGATAGCTATGTGATCAAACAATTTTTTATCAACCGTTAATTTATTCACGGTCTATTTTTTTACAAAACTAATTTGATCACATAGTTATCGATATCCGATCAACATGATTTTTCACGCGAATATGGTACTCGACGAGTTTTAAATATTGAACGGTTCAAATTTTCAAAAAGAAACCTGTGAAAAACTCCCAACAGATCTACCAGCACGGTCCAGTCCGATGCCGGACCGGACCAAAGCCAGGCCCTTGTATATAATAACTGTTTCTGATTCCAAATTCTCACACCTTTTCCACTTCCTTTCCCTCACATTCCTTCTTTAAAGGGTTTACCAATTCATGATTTATTCTGTACATACATAATTCATAACTTAGGGTTTCATAAAATTCCCCATCAATTCAATTCAACCAAGCCACATATTCTGAAATCTGAACATACCTATCGCACCAATTTTCTGAAAATTCAGGTAAGCTAATCAAGCTCAACCATGGCAGTTCCAACAATCGCACTGTATGCCAATCCACGGAGTAGTGTGTGCTCCATCCACTCCACACCCTTGCCAGATCAATTCTCTCTCCTTGTTCGATTTCGATTCCTCCTCATCGACGATAATCGGTGGCCTCTCTTGCCTACTTTCGGCGAAACACGCTTCGTGTTCGAGCTATTCCAATGGATGCGAAGAGTTGGGATCGTTGTGGCACGATAAAGGAGGCGAATTGACTAGTTCGTTTCGCTTCTCGTCGTTTTGTTCTTCTCTGAAGAGGGATCAGAGCCCTGTGTCGGTGTTACAAGGCCCTGGTTCTTCGAGAAGTCCACCGATGAGAATTGCGTTGAAAATGAGTGCTGGAGATGTGAGTCTTTCGGGTTCGATTCGAGCTGCGACTAATGGGTTTGTTCGTCATGCTTTAGGGTCTTGTGTGGACTATGATTTGCCGAGTTTTTGCGGATCTATTGAGATTGATTCTTCGTCTGTACTGATTGATGAACTTCCGTTTACTATGGATGATAATTTTGTGGTGTTAAGTTGTGAACCATATGCTAAAGATTTGCTTTTGGGTGCACAATCGAGACATGGGATTTTCCGGGAAGATTTTCTTGTCAAGGCTTTTGGATTGAGAAGTTTTTTTTTTGTTTTTTGTTTTTTGGGTGTGTGTTATAATTTTGTAGATGCGAGCAAGTGGAGATCCTTATCTACAGCATTGTGTCGAAACAGCGGTTTTGCTCGCTATGATTGGTGCCAATTTGACAGTAGTTGCTGCAGGGCTTTTACATGACACACTTGATGATTCTTCTATGTTACGACTGCATTTTCCATACATTTGGAGCTGGGGTTGCTGATTTGGTTGAAGGGGTATGAGACATCACTTCGATAAATGATTTGTTATTGAATATTGCAAATTTCGATTGTGTAGTGTATTAAATTACTGTCAATGAAACTGCTCATTTTCAGCCAATACTATGATCTACTGTTTGCATTAGCATTATTCTTTGTAAATCATGTTGCTTTCAGCCATTAATGGACCTGATGCTATAAATGAACTAGAAATCAACTGGCATGGATTAGTCAGAGAATTGGATGTAACACTTATCACAGTTTTAAATGAGGACGTGGGAGAGTTCTTTTACTTCTCAGTTAATGTTTCAAATTTTTTGTATGTGGGTCTAGTCCTAGCTTTTACTAGGTTGACTCACTTAAGCCATTTCACTGTCATTGTTTTGTCACAGGGTGCTGTATGCTGGGTTGTGAACAAAATATGGGTTTCAATAGTGGAAAATATATTGATTTTCAATTTAATTTTAATGGCAAATAGACAACAGTTCTTTAACATTTTGGCAGAAGTTACAAATGATATGCAATTCCCCACATTTTTCTGGCATTTGCTACTTGTGTGATTACACAAGTAATTCCCGTGTTTCTTCTTAGCTAATCAACTCGCACAATTCAGTTGTGCTTTAGTATCGTGGTCTATATTTTTCTGTTTCTGACATAGTGCCCATGTGCTCGAGAATACAGAAGTGATGATGAACTTATTTCTTCCTCCTTTTGGTGAATCAAAGCCTTGTATCAGGGCATCATGTGCTAATGGCAACAAATCGAGTTACTGTGATCCTTTAAATAGTTCATTCTTAGCAGTCTTCTTATGCAAGTGAATGAATGCTTCCTTGTTTGAAACTTAATAATTCCTTATGTGCATAATAACTTACTATAAGCAAAAAGGCCTATCCCACTACTGCTTCCCAGACGAAACAATATAACAAATGGTTTCCTTATGTGTGCAGTGATTCACATTTACAGGAATTTTGGATAATCCTTTTACTTCCTTGCTTTGATTGTAACTCTATTTCTTTTTCTATTAGTAAATTTTCCACATACCGGTTCTTACTAAGATGAGCATGTAGATTGTTTCTCTTTGTTTATGTGGAAACTATTAGAGGCTCACCTTGTTCACCATTCAACCTTCTGTTCAAGATACAGGGATGCATACATTTACATTTGCAGCAATCTGGTTAAGGTAAATTTTAATCTTTTACCTGTATTATTTAACAGTGCTGCATAAAAGTAAATTTGGTGGCAATGTTTTGTCAACAGTTTTGGTGAAATTACTTCATCCTTTCAAGCTCCTAATATTATATATTGCATTTTGGTAGGTGTCTAAGCTAAGTCAATTGAGCAAGCTTGCACGTGACAACAATACAGCAAGTAAAACCATTGAGGCAGATTCCCTGCACACCATGTTCCTTGCAATGGCAGATGCCAGGGCTGTCCTTATAAAGCTGGCTGATCGATTGCATAATATGATGACACTAGATGCATTACCTTTGGTCAAGCAACAAAGATTTGCTAAAGAAACATTGGAAATCTTTTCTCCTTTGGCCAATCGGTTGGGGATCTCTAGTTGGAAAGAGAAACTTGAAAACCTATGCTTCAAATATCTCTACCCAGATGAGCACAAAGAACTTTCCTCCAACCTTATGAAGTCCTTTGATGAGGCAATGGTTGCTTCAGCTGTAGAGAAACTAGAGCAAGTTCTCGAGGATGCAGCCATTTCTTACCATGATCTATCAGGGAGGCACAAAAGCTTGTATAGCATCTATGTCAAAATGATGAAGTACTTTCTCTCTCTCTCTCTCCAAGCACAAATGCACGCACATCTTCAAAGAAAGTTGCTGAAAAACATTTAGTGGGGCTCTCTATTGAGTGAATAATGTGACAGACATAAGTGGTTGCTTTCAGTTGTCTGACTGCCGAAATAATTCAATGAGGCTGGGATAGTTAACAAAAGTGGCATTATTACCTCATTATGGTTGTGTTGATTTTGTGGTGAATTTTGGAAATTTTGGTGCATATCATTAATCCTTTTGTCGTGGCATTTTCTAAATTAGTTAAATTGATTGAGGAGATAATAGCATTTGATCTTGTGCAGAAAGAAACTGACCATGGATGAAATTCATGATATTCACGGTCTACGATTAATTGTTGAGAAAGAAGAAGATTGTCACAAGGCATTGAGAGTTGTTCACCAGTTGTGGTCCGCAGTACCCGGAAAGTTCAGGACTACATAAATCAACCCAAGTTTAATGGGTATGTTATATATATCTCAGAGAACACGTAAACGCGTATGTGATTATTTTGCTTCTACATTTGATCTTAATTTGTAGATACCAATCTCTACACACTGTAGTGATGGGTGAGGGCATGGTTCCACTTGAAGTTCAGATTCGAATGAAAGACATGCATTTACAAGCAGAGTTTGGATTTGCAGCCCATTGGAGATACAAGGAAGGTGATTGTAAACACTGTTCCTTTGTGCTTCAAATGGTTGAGTGGGCCCGTTGGGTTGTCACGTGGCAGTGTGAGACGATGACCAAGGATCGATCAACAATTTGCTACACAGACTCCATCAAACGACCACCCTGCACATTCCCTTCTCATTCTGAAGATTGCTCATATTCCTATAAACTCAACTAGTATATCACCCGTACTATGTACGGATTGTGTTTAAATGTAAATTGTAATTTTTAAATGTTTTTTTTTAATGCCTTTTTTATTTTATTTTATATATTATATTAAAGTTTAATATTTTGATAATAATCATACGTGTTAGATTTTTTAAGAAATTAAATGTCTTTTTTTATATTATATTATATTATATTTTAATATTTTGATAATAATCATATGTGTTGAATTTTTCAAGAATTTTTTTTTATGTTTGTTCTTAATGCATTAAAGTATTATTATGAAGGATAATAATCATATGTGTTGGGATTTTTCAAAGAATTCATATGTGTTGGATTTCAAAGAATTATTTTTATGCTTGTTCTTAATGTATTAAGGTGTTATTATTATGATGGTAAAACTTGGGGGTTAGGAGAAGTTAATAAATGTTAAGATTTTTTTTTTAAATCAAAAAATTAAGAAATTTAGATTGAAAATTGGAACTTTCACAAAATTTGGGATTAAAATTTTTTTTTTTTACTTAATATATATAGTATAGATTGTGTCTCTGGTGGGCCTGTCCTTGTCATTGTGATGGAAAATGACAAGGTTTGTTTTTAGTTTTGTTCTTTACTTTAATCGAACTAGTTTTGGGGTTAATTCTACCTTTAATTTGGGGTTAATTTAGATGATTAGTTTTGGATGATTAATTCTAGTTTTAGATGGTCAAGGAAACTTTTAACAATGATTCATCCCACTAAAAACACCACCACTAATAGCACTAATGTATTAAAAAAGTAAAAAAAAAAAAAAAAAAAAAACTCCAAGACCAAAACATCACATCATTAATGACGGGACCTACTGCCACCTAATTAGTGGGAGCACTAATTAGTGCTCCCAAGCATTTTTCCCTTTAATATTCTTGAGTCAATAGACTCAACGATGCTCGCATAAATTGATTTGGAGTATAATAAACTTTATTTAGGCACTCCATGATGCTTGCATAAATTGATTTGGAGTAGAACAAACTTCGATGGATATATAGGCCTATTCTGGGGATTTAGTTAAAAGCTATTTTTTAATTTGAAATTTATTTTAAATCATATTATTGTTTTAATTTTTATACATTTTTAAAAAAATAATTAATCAAAAAATTAAAAAATTAATTTTTAATTTATTTCTCAAAACAAACATTATAAATTACCCTATGCCTGTTTTTAGTAGAGGTAGGTCCTTGGATCTTGGCTTGGCACGCCATAGAGCCCGGGCATGGGCAAACTACTACCGCCTACTGTGGTTTGAGCATGTGTTACTGTGGAAATTAAAATTTTATTTTGTTATAAGAATTAAATTGAGTTTTTTTTTTATTTTTTATGATTATATATATATATATATATTTTCTTCCCTTTTTGGTTTTAAATAGACTTTTTTTTTTTCCGTTAACACCCTGCAAGTATTTTTCACGTTACAGAATTTGTCAAAGTTCTTGAGACTTTCGTCTTGTAGCTCTCCTACTTGTGAAAATAGATATATACGTATTTATATCTATTTCTATAGTGTGTATAGTAAATGATTCTATATAAAGTTCACTCTACACCCATAATCATTGGGCGCTTCTTTTTTCTCTCCAATTACTCTCTCTCTCTCTCTCTCTCTCTCAAAATGTTGGGCAAAGTCTCTTCTTCAAAATTTTATAGCGTCTTCTTCTTCTTCTGGCTCATATTGTTGATGTTCATCATACTCCAACCAATAACATCAGCAAGAAAACTAGCTAGCAGTAAGTTCTCTCTCTCTATTGTATATTTATATCAGTGATTTTTCTTAATATTTATCTCAATTATTTCTTATCAAGATGATTTTTTTGTGGCTCGCTCTTGATACCCACACGACCTACATGAGAAGAGAAGAGCCTTGGTGGAGGGATGGAATTAAGAGAACACTATGGTAGCCATGGTGTCTTTATTTCTCTGAAAAATTATATTTACCATTAATACTTTAAAAATATATATCTTATTTTATAAATAAAATAGTCTCCCATTATAAAAGATAGATCTCATATTCTTCTACCATCTTATATTCTCCTTTTATTTTCTACCCAATTTTTTTTTTTATCCTATTAGAGATTACTTCTATAATATTTGAAAACCTCTCCGATAATTAAGATAATTAAGGTAGCTAACTTGGAGTAAAATAATAAGGCACTATTTGACGTTACCTATAGAAGTACATTTTTTTTTTCTTTTTTTTTTTGGGTTAAATTATCTCTATATTTTTTTATACACTTTTAAAAAAAAAAATTCAAAAAAATATTTTAAATAATCTTAGACACCTTCAAAATCTAAAAATGATATTAAAAAGATGGATTTAGTATTTTGAATATTGCTTACCCTATCATATGTGTGCAGTGACCTTTCATAGACGGTCTCGTATATGAACCATTCGCATTGGTGGGTTCTACATCAATTTCATGCAATTTTTGAACTATATAATTAAGATATTAAATTGTGATTTTAAAATATTTTATTAATTTACATAATTTATATAATTAAAAAAATATCTATTAATATATTGATGATGTTACATAATATGTAAAATTGTACGTATAGTCATGAATTAAAAGGTGAATAAATTGTTTTTGAAAAATTATAAATAAAAAAAACTTAGAGTTTGATTGTTGTAACAAAATAAATTTTGAATTTTATTAAACTTTATTTTTTTATTATTTATTTTCAACATGAACCATCGATTTATTTTCGTTAAGTGAAATTGATAAAAATTGATATTGTAAGTGTATAAAAAATATCTAAAATACTATTTTTTGTTGAGTTTAACAACTAAAATATCACTTTTTGGGGTCAATTTTTATTTAACGAAAATAGGTAAATAGTTTAGATTGAAAAAAAATTAAAAGACTATAGTTTAAATTGACAAAATTAAAAATTTATTTTGTTAAAAATATCAAATCGTCAGATTTATTTTTGCAATTTTTCTAAGAAATTTTAAAATTTTAAGAGGAGTCTTTCTATAAATATCATAGTAATATTCATAAATTAGCAAGTTAATAATATAACTTCGAAAAAGAAAATTTTATTTATATATAAAATTCATACAAAAACTTGACAAAAATAATGTGATATTATTATTATAAATAAATTCTTCTTCAATAATATTTTGTTTTGAAATGAAAAATCCTGTATAAAATTTTTGATAACATCACTCTTTTGAAATATATGGCCATTTTTTTAATTCACCTTATAACTCCAAATATATAATATTATAATGAGCTGGTTTGAAAAGTTGACTATTGTAGTTGTTTTTAGTTTTTTTTGGTTATTTTAACCTGAATAAAAAAGTTGTGTTTGGGAAGATAAATAATTTTTTTTAGAGCTAATTTCATAATTGTGAAAAAAAATAAATAAAATGATTATAATTTAAATGTGATATTTTGTCTAATTAACTATTTTTACATATTTTATTTCTGTTAACTATTTTAGTCCAAAATCTTATTTCCAAATAGGACCAATATAATATAAATTAAAATTTTCATTTTTATAGTCGGACCCAAATTGTAATTTTATCTTTTACGTCTAAAGCCAAGTTTGGGAAGACTAAATAAGTGCACTTTTTGACTTTTTATGAAATATGGGTTGGATTTGGGTTGGGTTTGAAGTGATGTGTTAGAGAGGTGATGTGACTTAAATAGGATAGTGACTTTTTGACTTTTTAGATTTTTTTGAGGATGCTAAACTTGACCTAAGTTTAGTCCAATTTCAATCAGTCAATCAATCATATGGTTTGTTGTAGATGGACAACGCAAGGTTGAGGTGCATGGAAGCCCCACACCTACGGCACATTCAGCAATAGGCGGCGGCGGCAGCGGTGGCGGCGGCGGCCATAGTTCTCCTACACCGGTGACCAAACGACCGATGCTATCGTATTCAGCACTTAATAGAAGATCTGCTGTTTGCAAAACCACTGCTACGTACAGCAGTTGCCTCCGTGGTCCTAATGGGTCACGTCGTCCTAATGGGTCACGTTTATCACCGCCGCATTAATGACTCCATTTGTTAAAATAGTTTATAAATTATAACTTAATAAATTATAAATTATAATTTTAATTAAAAATTGTTAATCTGTTTAGTATAATTGTTAGATTATAAATTTAAGTTATTGAGTAGTATTTGTTAAATAAGCTGTGAAGTATCTTTTTTAATTAGTTTTTATTTTTTGTTATTCACTACTTGTGTATATTTCTCATAAAAAAAAATAATCTATAGTCTATTTGGGTCTTTTTTTTATTTTTTAAAAAATAAAACATAAAAAATAAAAAAAAATCTAAGAGTATAAACGTAAACTAATATGTTCACACCAGAAGCTGACAATCAGAAGTAAGGGATAAACAACTTCTCAGAATCAATTTTTTTGAGTTAAAATAAGTTGTTAGAATCAGAAGTTATTTCAAATAAGTTTAACTAAACAGTCCAAAATGACTTTTCGAAAGCTAAAAGCTATAAGTTGATTCAAAAAACTCCAAACAAACACCCCCAATGTATAGCTAATTACAGTTTTTGTATTTTGTTTTTGTGTCATTTTAGTTTATAAAATTTTAATTAACTCAATTTTAATTTTTAATTTTAGATTTTGTATTAATTTAGTCCAATTGAAAATATTTATCAAAAAATTATAAAGAAAAATGATCACACACATAGTTCATGTGTGCATTTTCTATCAAATAACACTAATAATTATAATCTATTAGAATAAATTGAGATAAAATCATAAATTTAGAATTAAATTAAGCTAATTAAAATTATAGAGATTAAAATGATACGCGATCAAAATGCAAAGATTATTAGCGAGGTAATGTTATAGTACACTCCCCTCAAAAATTGTCATACCATATGCACATTTGTTATTTTTTTTATGGTACATGTTGCATATTTTTGTGGTAAGTATTATATTTTTCTTGGTAGAGTTACAAAATACATAATATTTGTCACAAAATATATAATATATACTGTGGGTGTTAATTTCTGACCACACAACTAAACAAGGAACTCAGTTAAAGAGCACCGGCAGAATAGATAAAGCCCGAACAACCTATTACAGAAAGATAAGAATCCGGCGGTGGTTCATCCACTCAGGGGCACTTCGATGATTAAGTCAGTAATCAAATATCTCTCAAAGATAACCAATAGTGTTTAACTCATTAGATAGAACCTAAAAAGCATACCTTAGACCTACGAGGGTGCCTTGTTTTTATAGCCAGCTCTATCCTGATCCCTGCAGAAGCTTCACTCTTGTACACTCAGACTCAATGCTCATCTTGGACTCTCAGTTAGATAGGGATAAACTCCCTAAGAGTTTTATCTTTATCCAGACTGAGATCCTCCCCAATTCTAGGACTCTTGCCCCTTATCCGCTTATCCCGGATTCCGATGTCCCCGTAGATAACCTCGGCCTAGCTGAGATCACCTTGGCATTATAACCAGGCCACATGGTCCCTCAGCTGATACTTCGGCATCACCTTAGCCACGTGCTGTCATTCACAAAATATGTCCCCACTTGCCCCCTAGGTTCTATTACCTCGGCAACCTAAGGTGATGGAACCTACATCGCTAGTTCATGTATTATGTTGGACAAAAATCCATTCCTTCCCATCGACTGAGATTATTACTCGTCAGCTTCAAGTGCTTAGCACTTAACTGTCTATTCTTATCAGGGATCAAGAACCAAGAACCAAGTTGTGACAACCCTCACCTCTGATTAGAGTTAATTTGTGTTTAAGCATGATAAGTAATTGATTAAGATGAAATTCTAAATTGATTATATGAGTGTGTTGTTTTAAATGCATTTCTATCTGTTTGTTATTGAATGATCTGTCCATGTTTTAATTTCGAACTGCGAATTGAAAGCCTTATCGGCGACCGATTCAGAAATTGATTGGTGTTACATGCTAATTAGGATTTATAGAATTTTATGTTAGGTTTAACTAAAATTCAATTTGGAATGATTAAATTAGAATAAATAATGCTAAATTGATTGAATCTAGGTTAATTACATGTTTGCTATTAATGGGCCTTACAAGACCATTTATTTTAATCTTGATTCATTTATGTTTGGCACTCCACTCTTCATCCATCTTCTTGACAAAAACGTGAGAGAGAGAGAGAGAGAGAGAGAGAGAGAGAGAGAGAGAGAGAGTGTTGGAGGAAAAATTGATTCATCTAGAGATTGGCTTGCAAATTTAGAAGAATTGAAGGAGAATTGCATGTTTAAGCTACCACACTTGGAATTCAAGACTTAAGGTAAGAAATTTATTCTCTTAATTGTGAAATTAAGTTGTTACATGCACGGTTCATGGAAAATTTGGTGATTAGAGTTAAGAAATAGTCTAAAGAGTTGAATTGAGAAACAATGTTTGCATGTATGTCCATATCATTGAATCTTGAGATCATTTTCATGTGAATTTCCACATGCATGTCCATATTATGGTTATACTCTAGAAATTCACCATGTTTTTGAGTTCAATCTTGCATTTGATCATGCTTTGGAGCATTAGAGTTCTTAGGAGCTCATGCATGTTATGTTCTTACATTGTTCTTCAAGTTTACATTAAAAGTTGTGTTCAATTGTTACACCTTTGGGCTTGATTTTATGAAATGATCTTCAAAACATGTTGTATTATGAGTTTCTAAGTGTTTTCCAGAAAATTGGCCCAAAAGGATGAGTTTTGGCATGTTTGATTCTTGGTTTGAGCTTTGGAAGCAAATCTGGAAGACCCAGATTTTGGCTTCCACGCTCGAGCGAAGGATTCCACGCTCGAGCAACCACTTTTGTGTTTAGAGCTCCGCCCGAGCGACGGAATGCTGGCTCGAGCGTAAATTGCAAGCTCTCAGGTTTTTGCGTGTGCAGACGCACGCTCGAGCGACGATACCTACGCTCGAGCGAGGAACTGTGTCTCACGCTCGAGCGAGCATCGAGCGGAGAATTTTAGCATCCAGTACTTTTCATATTTTTGCAGACCGCTCAAGCGAGGGAGTCTATGCTCGAGCGACCTCTCTGGTTCGGTAAGCTCGCTCGAGCGGTCTGCAAAAATATGAAAAGTACGCTCGAGCGACGGAATGCTGGCTCGAGCGTAAATTGCAAGCTCTCAGGTTTTTGCGTGTGCAGACGCACGCTCGAGCGACGATACCTACACTCGAGCGAGGAACTGTGTCTCACGCTCGAGCGAGCATCGAGCGGAGAATTTTAGCATCCAGTACTTTTCATATTTTTGCAGACCGCTCGAGCGAGGGAGTCTATGCTCGAGCGACCTCTCTGGTTCGGTAAGATCGCTCGAGCGGGAAAAGCCATGCTCGAGCGAGACCCCTATTTTCAGTAAATTTTGAAAAATGTTGTTAAGTGCATTTTTGCATCCTCATCCCATCCTAGGCATTCCTAGACCATGTTTAAAGCATCTTAATGAGAATAATGTTATAGAACCACACCAAGTCAAGATAGGGGCTGAGTTATTAATTCCGAATGTGTAATTTAGTGTGTGTTCGTTCTGCAACTGTGTAGGGTTGGCACCCGAGGACGCCGATTAGCCTGCCTATAGCCCAATAATCTGTGAGTAACAATGTTGTAAAGATATATTCAATTATAATTATTTTTTGAACGATCGACCGTACTGGTTTCTGAAGTGACATTGTTTACCGAATGAATGTTTGTTCTATTTTATGAACTGTACTCGTGTCATCCATAGTAACTTACTGTTACTGTTACTGTTACTGCTACTGTACTGTTACTGTTATTGCTACTGTTACAGAGATCTCCGTTAGTTCCAATGATTGGAACCAATACTGTTTACTGTTTCGATGGCCATCAATTGACTGTTCGGTTGATTAAGACCTACCGTACTGTTCTGCTATTAGATGTACCACATATGATCGCTATGATTTCTGAATGACTGATATGGCATGAAATATGAGCCACTGATTGAATAACTGATTTACTGATGCAAATGACGGTTTTAATTACTGAAAGGACATTTATTCTTAACCCCTTTACACAATTGTTATTCACTGGGCTTTAGCTCGCAGTTTATATATGTGTGTAGGTGGCCAGACACTGGACCGAAGTTAGAAGCATCGAGTTAAGCTCATGTTTTGTCCAGCCAACCGTTGTGCCTCACTTCGAGGTTTCGAGTCTGCTCAAGCTAAGGCTGTTTTTGGGGTGCTTCAGATTCACCCTTTTGTCCCTGTTTTGTACCGACTGAATAAGACTTGATTGTATAGTTATGGTGAAGGGATTAGGTCCCTAACCTGGATGTTATGTGTATCTGTCATGTATATATGTTTATGGTTATGAATATGGTTTTGTCCATACAAGTCTTTCCCATTTCAGGTTTCCACCGCTCATTGGACATCTTTTTATTACTGATTGGCTTCCGCCAGCCTCTTTATACTGTATTACTATCTTTACTGTTAAGTCGGCCTTCGGTAATCACGGATTACTGGCCGGTTACAATACTAAACCCTTAGGGGCGGGTTTGGGTCGTGACACAAGTTCTTTAAGTATCTTAACTGAGATCGTTCCTCTAGCTGAGGTTTTTGCTTCATTAAATTAAGAACTCCAAGAGTTTTTTCTACTCATGAGCTGTCACGCACGGTTTTCTCAACCGTTTCCGCCACGCGTCCTTCTCTCATTGATTTGTACTTGATATGTGCCATCAGGTTAAGTAGCTTCTGTGCACGCCGCTTGATAGGCATGCCGTCCAAGGCATGTCATTATGGTTTGCCGCCTTTTCAAATTTTTGACAAAACTCTTACTCTCTATCTGCCTCTTCACTTCTCATTCTTGCATTTCCCTCTCTTGTGCTCAAATTTTTGCTCTCTAGATTCCACTATTTTTATACCTTCGAAGCTCTGTACTTGCTCCGATTACCTCCTATGGCGACCTTTTTATCATTTGACTTTCATCTTTCAAGTCATTTGACTCCGGCGTCTCCTTCTTCGGCTTCAATCGGTAAGTCCCTGATATTATTGTTCGTATTTTCGAATAATTTGTACTGTTCTTCGTCTGTTCTTACGTTCTGGTCATCATGAGTCATTTCTGGTTCCTTGAATTTTCACTGTGCTTTGAACTTCATCAT